CAGCCTTGGGATGCGCCTGGACCTGCTCAGACCACCTGAGGATGGTCCCAGACGTGCTCAGACCAGCCCGGTGATGGCCCTGGACCTGCTCAGATCAGCTGATGATGGCCCCAGACATGCTCAGACCAGCCCGGTGATGGGCCTGGAGATGGCAACAAGCCTTTGTCCCCATTTTAGCCAGGTTGTAGCTGCGCAATGCTGCTCCCAGCCTGTGACCACAGCAGCATGTTGTGCCTGGTCTACAGCAAGAGCATGTCTGTCCCCGCTTCCATATTTACCCTCACCAGGTTGGCCAGTGAAAGGATGAGCAAGGTCCTGAGCAGGCACCCCACCACTCTCTTCTAACCAGCATTTCTCATGAAGAGAAAAGAAGATTTTATTGCTTGGCTGCGCATCGCAAATACAGCGGGAAAATGGGGTCAACACTCACCTCTGGCACCACCAGCTTGTGCAGTCCTGGACAGGACACTTCACATCTTTGTGCCTCAGTTTCCCCAGTCTGGAAACTTCTCTCATTGCACCATGCATGGTTTTTTACACCCCCCCACATCTTGGCCAAGACCTGCTCTTGGTTTTGTAATTCTAGTGATGATGGCGGGGAAAAGCTCTGCTTCTCCAGGAGTCTTCATGACAACTTCAAATGGGTGGCATCTGCCAAGGATTTTGGCCAGCACTTTTGGGGAAACACAGGGGCACCTTTGGCCACAGAAATCACAGAATCACAGAATGTGCTGGGCTGGAAGAGACCTTTAAAGGGCATCTAGTCCAACTCCCTGCAGTGAGCAGGGATACTTTCAACTCGGTCAGGTTGCTCAGAGCCCCATCAAGGCTGACCTTGAATGTCTCCAGGGATGGGGCCTCCACCACCTCTCCGGGCAACCTGTGCCAGGGTTTCAGCACCCTCAGAGTAAAGAACTTTTTTCTCATCTAAATCTACCCTGCTCTGGTGTGGGTGGAAGGAGAAATGAGGTTGGACTTGGCACAGAGGGTAAGTCTTGGTGCAAGTACCAAAACCCACCACAAGCCCCAAGGAGACCCTTCCTTGTTCTTCCCCAAAAATGTGTCGGCACTTACCGGCAAAGCATCTTGGGCTTCGCACATCCTGGCCACCGAGGTCTGAAACTCCCCGATGAAGTCGTGTCCCCCATCGCTGTCGTAGTCGTAGCATATCACCTAGAGCAGAAGGAGCACAAGCCTCAGGTGCAGAAACTATCTCCCTCCTGCGAGGAGATCAGCTCAAGTTCCCAACTTCTCCTGCTGGAGACCCCAAACAAGGTGCTGGTTTTTATTCTAGGGGTGTTTCTTGTTTATTGTGGGTGGGTTTTTTTTAAATAAAGGGGTTTTAGAAGTTTAACGATCACCGTGACCACCACGACCCAACCCAAAGGGCCTTGCCATTACCTTTATAAGCTTCTCCACGTCTCCATCGCACAGTGACACCAAAGGCACAGTGAACGGCTTCCAGACGGGGTCCAGCGTGTACTTGATCACCTGTGGGGTGGGGACGGAGGGACGCCGTTACAACGGGACATTGGCACAACGTGGGGGCCACGTCTCCAGGAGCAAATTGTCACCAAGCTGCAGAAAGCCTCAGCTCAGGGCTCTTCTGCCTCCTTAGCTTAGACACAGCTGCTCCCCTTTCTCAGGCTCTAGCACGTGGGGCTTAATTTGTGTTACACTGGGTGGTTTTTATCCACAAACCTGCTTGAGAAACCAGTTGCAACCAACTGGGCAGCCTGGGCACAACCATGCCCAGGGCAGTGGTGGAGTCCCCATCCCTGGAGGTGTTCAAAAAATGTGCAGACGTGGCACGTGGGGATGTAGTTTAGTGGTCATGGTGTTGCGTTGACAGTTGGACTCGATGATTTTAGAGGTCTTTTCCAACCTTAATGATTCCATATTCTATGCCCAGAGCACAGGCACTGCTTATCTCACCAGTCCAAGGCCAGCAGCTACTACTGATGCCCTCTGCATCTCATTGCTCACACCATACTCAATGCTTACTCCCCTCCAGTACAGCCTACATCCACCTGGGCTCTGACCACTGAGAAGACGGAGCGGCGAGATGCTGCACCCAGCCGAGAAAGCCAAACAGCCTCGGTCCAGCTCTCTTGCCTTCTGTGCGTAACGTCTGCTGCCTCAGCTGGAGGAATAAATTGATGCTTTTTGACATTTCCTGAGAGCACGCAGTCGCTTGGTGGAAATCCAAGCTGCAGATGCCTGCAAGGCAGGTGAAGACCCTCTTTCTCAAAGGTGTTGTGCTCAAAAAGAGACTTTCACGTGTATATTACACAAGTCAGACACGGGCAGCAGATTAACCCATCCCTGTGCAAAGCAAACACGGTGGGTGTCTGGCGTGGTGGACCTCGGACCTTCGCAGCCGGAGCAGCCTAGCAAGGAAGAAGTCCACGGCTTTGTCCACGGTCCAGCCAGCTTTGTATCAAACCCCAGAGATAGGGTTCCTCCGATCACGCTCAGGGCTGGGAAGGAGGAGGCTGTTGAAGCACCCATCACTTGAAAGAAAATCTGGCTAGAGCCTTGCCCAGCAAACCAAGACAGTGGAGGAACCAGGTAAGAACCCAGAGGAAAAATCAATATATACATCTCCTCCCCATAAACCTGAGCTGCTTAGAGAGATCTCGTGCTCCCGACTCCCACGCCTCCTCGAGGAGGTCACTCAAATCCCCACGTCTCAGAAAGAACGTCCTGGTGAGCCCAAGCCCAGTCACCCAGACTAAACCAGGTGGAAACAACCAAACGAGGTCCCAGCCTGGTCCCACCAAAAGCGAAGAGAAAAATGAAGGTTGATGCAAACTAAATACGTACAGAAATGTGAGAAAAAGCACCAAAAAGTCCACAGCAGAGCTAGGCTTAAAAGGCTGGCCCGTACCAGTACCACAGGACACGCGCCCTGGTGCCCGCTGCACGTGGGTGTGCGAGCGACGGAAATCCTCGTGGACTTTGCACAGCAGTGGGAAAAAACCGACGTAAAGGCTTTGTAAATAAATACCACCGCTCCTTCCCGTGGTGTTCTGTTACAGCGATTCGCTGCGGTGGGACAAGGGGATCCAAGCCTCGAGGGGACAAGGAAGGGAGAGGTGTGAGATGGGGATGGGAAGAAGAGGGGTGTGAGATCCCCTTCCCTCTGACACGGAGGCTGCAGTGAGCCCCCTCCTCTGTCTGCCATGTGCAAATAAAACAACCCCAAAAGACTTGAGACAAGCTTTGAGGAAGGGACAAAAAGCCATTGGAATAATAGTTATTAGCCTGGTGCTAACACAGAAACAGCCTGCTTCTCCCTGCCTGTGCTGTGCCCCTTAGCCATAACATCCCTGGCACCTCATCCCATTGTTCCTGCACGTGGAGGGAGAGCGGTCCAGCCCCTGCTCAGGAGGTGAACACGGGTTAGAAGACCATCTCCCTCCCTGCTTGGTAGATATGGTGGTGAGTAGTACAGAAAATATCTCAAGACCTCGCTGGCCTCGGTAATTCTTCACCCACCGGGGTCCAGCAGCCTCCGCTGGACACGGGGAAGGCAGCTCCAAGGTTCTGAAATCCCTGGATCCCACTCTGCTCATGGGGAATGGATGAGAGAATGCCACGAAGGGCAAGAGGGGCTGACGTTAAGGACAGGCGCTCACCTCCGTTCTGTGGACCAGCATCCATTTCCCATCGTCGCCTGGTTTATAAAACTCCAGGAAAGGGTCTGACTTGCCAAACAGGTCCTGGGGGAGAAGAACAGGACAGGTGACATGACAAGCAGACCAAGAGAGACCTCTTTTCCCTGGCAGGGCCAACCCTGTGGACACCCTCATGCCCACAAGACCAGCTCCAGCAGCCTGTCACCCTCCCTGGGCCCCGCTCACATCAATCCCAATGACACGGCGGGCGAGCCTGCGCCCCATTGCGTGCCCGGACACGGGAAGCCACCTCGGCTGGGAGGCAGCTGCATTTGGGCTTGGAAAAACATCCAGAGCTTCAAAGGAAAAACTGAATTACGGAGTGCACGAGTGTCTTGGGGAAGAAAGGGTAAAAAAAAAAACAAACCAAGCCCTCCTACACACAGCCATAAAGCAAGAGCAGAGGAAATCTTTTCAGATTGAGCTGGCCTGGTGCTGACAGAGATCACGTAACACCCTCTGAGATACGCAGCCCTGAGTCAGCGTGCGCTGCCTCTCCTGCCAGCGTCTCCTCAGATATTCCCCCGGCAAAGGGCTGCTGGTTTGTAAGAAATACACACACACGTGTCCCCGCTGGGCAGCAGCACCAGGGTTACTCAGGGGCACCCGTAGCCTGGAGAGGAGGACGGCACCGGTGGCACCGACACAAGGAAAACTCCAGCATTTCTAAGCAGAATTTAGCACAGGATCACAGGATGTTTTGGGTTGGAAAGGACCTTAAAGACCATCTTGTTCCAACCCCCTGCCCTGGGCAGGGACACCTCCCACCAGAGCAGGTTGCTCCAAGTCCTGTCTGACCTGGCCTAGAACACTCCCAAAGCGCATCCACAGCTTCTTGGGGCAAGCTGGTCCAGTGTCTCACCACCCTCCCAGTGAGGAAGTTCTTCCTATTAAATAATAACTTTATTCCCATTGAGAAAAAAAAACAACCAAGAAGTGGCTAACAAGAGATCAAGCCTAAAGCTTTGCAAATTATTTACTGAGCACTCAAGTGATTTCAGATTTTTTTCCCCAGGGGAGGTGGGTGCCTGAGTCCTGCAAAGCGCCGGAGGAACTTCTTACGGGTTTGAACAGGAGTTTTGGGGCTTCCAAGTGATGCAGTGAGGCTGCTTGTGGAGGAGGAGGAGGAGGAGGAGGAGGGGGAGGCATGGACAGCCCCCGAGCTCCTGTCCACAGCCAGCCCAGGAGGTGATGGCTTGAGACATGGGCCCTGGCGATGCCCAAGAAGAAAAACCATTAACATTTCTATCCAGAGCCAGTAAATCGCTGCAAAGTGTTTTGGCTTGGAGAAACTATAATCTGCTTCGGTCCCAACTCAAAGCTCTCTGCTGAGACAAACCTATTTTTCCTCCTACCCTTTTTCACATGCTCGTAGGAGAGAAAACCAAGCCATTCTTTCTGCAGGGTTACGGTCATGGCACAGCTCCGATCCTGCTCACCCACAGCCTGGACTCGACACTTCCAAGCTTCGCTGATGGATGAAAGAGCCAGTGGTGCCTCTGATCTGCTGAGCCTGCAGCCCAACGTGGTTTCATCAGCGCCAGCCCAGCGTGGGGTGGTGGAGTCGCCAGCTCAGGTGACAGCCGGGAGCTTTGAAGGATGTCTGCTGCCATCCCATGTGGAGCAGCCGGCAAGGCCAGTCAGCCTCACGCCATTCAAAGCAAGTTGGGAGCTGCCTCCAAGCCACAGGCTTGTGGGCTGCCATTTTAAAATGTCAAAACCCCAACCA